ATATAAGTAGGTGAAAATATTAATAAACGGTTTAGATTATGAGATAAGTAGGTGAGCCAGAATTGGGGTTTTCATACTACTAGAGGTGGTTAATGCCATAAAACAATTAGGCAAGGTACATAGAATTAGAATCAAAAAACATTATAAATACCAATCAGTAAGAGCAGACATATCATTATTGGAAGATTATGAGACATCCTTCTTAAATGGAGCGTGGAAGGAGAAAGTTCTAATAGGAAGCAACGAAAAAAATAAAAAAGTCATCAACATTCGTTGGTTCAAAGGAGATAGGACTGTTAAAGATATAAAAGAAAAATGCAAATGGAAAGCTTACAAAGTAATCTGTACGAACTACTACCAAGATATAGCGAGAAAAAATTATACTTTTGAGTATGGAAAAATTGCTCGCTTTGGAAACAAAACAGTTTTCCTGGGATGAAGATCAATTGAACAATGCAATCGCTCTGGATGGCGGAATCACAGATAAAGCCTGGATTATTCGCGAAAAGCGTCAAGATGGTGCGCCGAAGAAGTCCACAAAAGAGGTTCTTCCGAGGGCGCTAATTAGCACGATCCCGAATAACAAAAAAGAAGAGTTGATTATGACAACCGTGACGTCACCAATAATTATCAAAGATATAACTACAGAAGAGGTAGTCGATACCGTTAATAAATATAGGAAAAACCTGTTGAGTGAAAAACAATTTGAAACGATATCGCCTCCAATAAAAGATTATACTTCCTCAGATAACGTGGTTAAAGTGATTGAGGAGTATAGAGAAGAGATAATGGTTGAATACGATAAAGTGGCGTTACCAGTTAAAGCTAATGAGGCAGACGACAAGATAAGAGTCTACGATGAAAATCACCCAATTAGTAAAGCTAGGATTGCTTTATTCGAAAAACGCGTTGGCGACAAAAAGGGGAAGAAGTCAGAGCGTTCCACAAATGGAGAAAAAACTGTGTCTCTGATAGAAATACATGAATACAACAAAGTTAACGCTGATTGTACTAAACGATTACCATCACAAAATCAAAAGTATCCATTTACTTTTTCAAACCGTAACCCATTTATAATAGGTCCAGGTAATGGTTTTTCATCATCGTCGGACGATGAAGAACATATAAAAGAAGTCAAGAAGTGTATAAAGAAAAAACAGGGAACGCGAAGTGACACGGAATACGAAGAGACTGGAGAAGGCTTTAGAGAAGTTAAAAAAGAAAAAAAACCCTGGGCCGGGAAACCTGGAAGCAGGATGGGCCGTAAAAAGAAGAAAAAGGGTCAAAACAAAAAATAGTTTAGGTTTTTTTTAGTGTAGAATAACGAGATATACCCATGTATGTAGATAGTTTGTAGATAGGTTGGTGTAGGGGTAAAAGGTGTTGATCGGGGACGGTAGTGGCCTTGACATGGAGAGAGCGAGTAGTTTTAGACTGCTCAATTTCAATGGGTATATTGAGGTTATTTTACTGCCTATATTTGTACTAGTGCGCGAAATACCTAACATAGGCCCTCTTTAATCAATAAATATGCGTTTGTCATTGTAAAAAAAAAAAAAAGAATTCCCTTTTTACGTTTAACCAATAAAATTATATCACGTGATATTTGTATCGAAGTCTTTTTTATAAAATATTTATATATGAACGAAATGATTTCTCAAGCCAGAAGTCATTCCATTTACGAACTTTTGACTATATTAATATTATTTAACATGGTATTTTTTTGTGATACGACAAAAAGTTTTATTCTTAAAAAAATAAAAATCCGTATGGTTAAAGCAAATTTGATATGAGAAGACATGACAATAACATATGATTTGATAAAATTTATAGAAAATGTTTATGTAGACTTTATAGTTTATAAACAGAAATAGTAAATGAAAATTTAATAGTTAATGAAAATTCAGCATGATCAAAAGTGTTAGAATGGTAAAACTTTTTTTCACTGATAAGATTGATATTTGATTCTTTTTTCATAAAATCCTTTTCTATAGTAACAATTACTAGTAACAATTATCTAGAAAATTGATTCAATGTTATTCAGTAGTTTTCCATCGACTGATGAAGGTTAAAGACAAATTTATAGTTTGAGTGAATAAGTATTATTGTACTTTTTATGACAACGTGTTAATTTTATTTAACTTTAGCAGAGGTTTAGTAAAAAATAAATAATTTTGTTATTATTTATTCTTGATTTCTCTGATCTTAAAATATAATGATTAATATTTTCTTTATTCATAAAAGAGAATATAAACCCTATTAGTAATTCCAAATTCATAACAGATGAAGTTTCTTTCTTAGTTGCGAATCCATTACATGATCCACATATAATTTATTTTATTATACAAATTGTAATAATTTTTTAGTAATAAATTTTGGCTATTTGCAATTCCAGGTTATTATCACTTTAAAAAAGAACGTTCAAATTTTCATATTATTTTCCAGGCATTATCGGTTATTGTTTTGTACTAAAACATTATAATTGTTATTGTCACTCTCCTTTCATCAAATACAATATGAATGGAGAATGACCACAACGAAATTTGATAAGAATTTTAACAAACTATTACGGGCTGTCTGAGAAAGAAATATCTATGTTTATAATGATATCGCATAATAAGGATGTTAGCTTGCCACCTTTTAAAGTAGAGCAGTCATTAACTATTATAAGTAATGATGTGATGTTAGTAATCATAAACATTATATAAAAATTCACTTCACTTCACGGACATAATTAAATAAAATAGCACTATAAGAAAAAACTTTATTCAATTTATAAAAAAAAAATTTATATGGACTTGAAAAAAAGACCACTAAGTATCAAGTGTATTAAATAAATAATTTGTTAATGCTTTAATATATGAATAGTCAAAAGTTTAAAGTATTTGAGGTTTGTATATTAATAAAGTTACAGGTAGCTAGATATGACTTGGTAGGATAACTATATATCATTAATTACTAATAAATTGTAATGATGACAACAATAGCAAAATTATCACAAATAAATAATCTTATTTGTCATAAATTATGATTAAGATGTTTAAATGCAGGTGCCAAGAATTAGAATATGATTTAAATTGGTTAAGAACTAGTGATGGCAACGGTTATGATCATAACCCATTTAACCGACCATTTGACCAACCATTTAACATTTTACTGACCATTTTTAACCATTTGACCGACCATTTAACCAATTATTTAAGTAAAATGGTATAACTGACCGTTTAACCGACCGTTTAACCAATTTTTAACTGACCCGTTTAACTTGCTATAACCGATTATAACCGACCATTGCCATCCCTATTACGGACTCATACTACATTTTAAAGATAAAAAATAAAAATAAATAAAGAATATAAATTCTGTAGTCTTTAAACTAATAATAAAATATTATAATACACTTCTTAATTAATAATTTACATAACTGATAAATTTTACAAGAACTATTCCATACATTAATATTCGGTAAAAGGATATTATCAAGACTCCATAAAAATAAAATGTATTGTATCTAAAAAATTATTCTTACCATTATTAATTTTTTGCAAGATCATTTAAATATATTTTAATATTTTAATAAGTTTTTATTTTATTAAGGAAATAATGTTATAAGACAAGACTTAAGGAATGAAATTAAAAGAGAAAATATGAAAAATGGTTAAAAGAAATAAAAAATGAAAAAATTAAGGACAAAAAGGGTTTATATTTAAGTTAGTAACAGTTATGTTGCTTAATAATGAATGTTATTAGGTGATTTATAAAATTATTGCAATTTTATTAGGTGATTTTTTTATTACCAGTTGTCCTTGCAATTGGTACTAATATTACCGTATTAGTAGTAAGTTTTATTTGCTCTTATTTTTATTTATATTAATAAATATGAAATAAGTATGCCTTTATTTTAGGAAAAATTTTGTAAGTTAGTATTTTTTATTTCTTTTTTATTATATTAGAATAATTGATTCAAATTTACAATATTTTTTTTATTAAGCTTTTTACAAAAAGATGAATGTTCTCCTGAATTTTGTCACATCATTAATTTCTTTTCTTTTATCTTGTTCCATTTCATTAATTCCTTCTCTCAAATTTTGTTCCATTTTATTAATTCCTTTTTTAAATTTTGTTCCATTTCTTGTTTTGCTTCACTTAAATTTTGTTCTATTTCATTAATTCCTTCACTTAAATTTTGTTCCATTTTATTAATTCCTTCTCTCAAATTTTGTTCCATTTTATTAATTTCTACTCTCAAATTTTGCTCCATTTCTTGTTTTACTTCACTTAAATTTTGTTCCATTTCATCAATTTCTTCACTTAAATTTTGTTCAATTTCATTAATTACTTCACTTAAATTTTCTTCCATTTCATTAATTCCTTCTCTCAAATTTTGTTCCATTTCATTAATTCCTTCTCTCAAATTTTGTTCCATTTCATTAATTCCTTTTTTAAACTTTTGTTCCATTTTGCGTTTTACTCCGCTAAAATTTTGTTCTATTTCATTAATTCCTTCACCTAAATTTTGTCCTATTTCTTGTTTCACATCACTAATTTCATCACTAATTACTTTTCCCCAATTTACAATGCTAGCCCTTTGGATCTCTAAATTTTGTTCCAATTCATTAATTCCTTTTCTTAAATTTTGTTCCAAATCATTAACTTTTTTTCTTAAATTTTTTAGATTATTAGAAGGTTGGAATGTTGAATATTTTCTGAAACCAGGAAATTGTAAATTCACCAACATAAGTTTTTTTCTTGAATTTCCTAGATTACCAAGAGGTTGGAATGGTTGGAATGTTGAATATTTTCTGAAATCAGAAGGTTTAAATGTTGAATGTTTTTTGATATCATATTTAATTAATCGTATATATCTAAACATTTTGTTAAACAGAATAGAGTAAATTGTATAGTAAATCTGTGACTGTATATTGTAAGTGCACATATATATATATGTATATTTATGTGTAAGATTATCAATAATGTAAAATAAGTCAAAATTATAATTAACAAATTAATTATCAACGCATAATGACAATCGTCATATCATAATATATACATTCGATTAATTATTCAGAATTATTCAGTACCAGTATAAGAAAAAATGTTAATAAGCTTTGAGATTATTAATTTAGTAAGAGATTCAATTATTTTATTATTTAATTTCATCGCACGTTTTTAAACAACTTTTTATATACAATTAAACAGAGAAAGTTTGTGGAAAACAACTAAAAACATGATATGAAACAAATATTTTTAATTTTTTTAAAAAATTTAGTAATATGTTAGAGTTTATAAAGTAATAAATATAATCGCGTTTAATTATATGTAATTTCTAATTTCTCAAAAGCTCGTTTTCACTATAGTAGTTCGCTTTATTCTTGAGCTGAACTTAATCTAAACCGTTGATCAAATTTAATATTCTTCAATTTAACTGGAAACAAAATAACATTTAAATAATTAGCTATCCATTTTTTAAGTACTAACCGCAATGATAAGCTTTTTACATTCCAAGTTGAGAATTTCATATCCCTTTTTATTTGCCTTTCCTCAATCTTTTTTCATTTTAGAGTTTATCGTCCATTAACTGATTTTTAAATGTCTGAATTTCTCTGAAGCCATTCTATTAATTTTAATCATTTTGTAAATAAAATAAATTATATCTTTAAAAAAATTTGAGTCATATAATTTAATAATAAAAAGTGAGTAACGAATAAAATGTAATTCAAAATCAGGATTCTATCCATCATCAATATAATATTAGAATACAATGTTCTTTTGTTTAGAAATTTTTAAATGATTTTTCTTTAATTTCTTTTTTCAGTTCGGTTTTCCTAAAACTGAAAATATTTCTTTTAATTTTAAATAAATTTTTTTTTTCCTTCATAATCTATACTATTATTTTTATATAATTTTTTTCATTTAATTTTATATACTATATTTCTATCATTGCTATATAAAAACATTATTAATTATTCTTTTTTTTAAAAAAATCAGTAATTGGATCGATGTTGCAGCATTATGGTAAGCATCATTTTTCAATCCTCATTTCAATAATAATTTTTTTCCATATCTATTTTATTTCTAATATTTTTTTCATTCTTTCACCTTTAGATTTGGAACAGTGATTGGATAGATGCTGTGGTGCTATACTTGTAATAAGTGCTTCCGATTTTCATTTTAATTTCGTTCTTTTACCTTTTAGGTTTGGATCAAAGTCAGTGCTATCTAAAGTTTTTTTTTTAAATTAAAGTTTTTTTTATAATAAATAAAATAAATTTATTAATTTTAAATATTACAAATAAAAGTAATAAATAAATAACTTTATTTTCCTGAAACATTTATTCAGTAAAAAATGATTAATAAATTATAAACAAGACAAAATATATAAAAGCTAGAAAAATTATTTTTGGTTTTTACTGGGGTGATCATCACCGCTGGCCAGAATTATCAATTTTTACCGGCACTAAATTTTTTTAATGCTGGTCGATTGTCATAATTTCAGTCACCGGTGATGATCACCCCCGGTGATAGTTAGAAAAATTCTTTTATTAAATTAGTATAAAAACAATAAAATAACCAAATGGAATAAATAATTTTTCGGCGAAATGTCCATTCGGCAAAACGTCCATTTGGAGAAATATCCCTTCAGTGAAATATCCCTTCGACGAAGTGGAATTCGGTGAAATGGACTTCGGTGAAAAGTCCGGATACTCTTTTTTTGGTTTAACTAGATTTAAATAATACAAATAATATCAATATAACATCACTTAGTCTAGTTAATAAAATCTATGCAAAGTAAAATTTGTATTTTGATAAAAAAAAAAATCCCTTGATCTTGGTATAATTGATGATCATTTTTAGCTTAACTTCTGATGAAAAAAAAATCTAACTTCTGATTTCTGTTTTTAATAATTTTTTAAAATGCCAGAAACACTATAAAACCAACCGTCGTGGGAGAATCATTAGGCTGTAATGAACTGATTAACTTACTAACTGACTGAATGAACAGAATAAATGCAATAAAATATGTCTTCAAGTAATTTAATTACACAATTATTACAAGTTAAACCTATCCATAAAAGTTCGATTGAGAAACGCTAACTCAACATTGGTAATGTTGACAAAAACACATATCAATATTAAGAGATATTTAAACTAAACATATATTATTATGCTGGAGTGGACGGATTTTTTTTTTTTTGTCGTTAGTTTAATTTTAAATTTGAAATATTTAAACGTAACTCCGTGAATTTCTTTAAAACGCAACTATATTAAGAGATATTTAAACTAAACATATATTATTATGCTGGAGTGGACGGATTTTTTTTTTTTTTGTCGTTAGTTTAATTTAAATTTGAAATATTTAAACGTAACTCCGTGAATTTCTTTAAAACGCAACTATATAATCTGCAAAAAAAATCATCTGATTTAAATTCCAATCATTAATGATGGACGATGGACCGTAATTATTCCGATAATGTATAACATAAACCGTAAAAAGATAAAGTTTAAGTTTGCGTGCAACTGTCAAAAAATCATGTAAAATTATAATAATTCCGGCCTGAAAAAAATACGTACAGAACTACAGATAATAGTAATATATTTTTGGCTGACTCTGACTTTTTTAATATGATCAATAAATTAAATCTTACATTTTAACAATTGTTTAATACGGTATGAGGAAATTTTTTAAATCTATTACGTGATCCACAAAGAATTAATTTTATTTTGTTTGAATTGTAATAATTTTTTGCTAACTCACACTACTTACAATTCCAGATTATAATCATAAAAAAAAATTTTTTAATTTTTATATTTTATACTAAAACAATTATAATTTCTCGGGAATTTAAAATTTTTATACGAATGATTCACGTGATGTTTAGCCAATAAATACGTGAAATTAAACGTGATCGATTTTAAATTTTTCAATCACTAACTATTAATTAGAAACTATGTCAGCAATCATAAATTATTATGAATACGGTGAGTAAATACACCTCACGGACATAAAATAACAAAAACTTTGTTTAATTAATAAAATAATTATATTTAATTTGTAGGTGATAAAAAATACCAAGTATCAAGTGTATCAATTAAGGAAAATGAAATATATATTACAAGATCTATAAAAATACTTATTTATTCGAACTGGGAGTTTTGTCATTGACTATTTTCTGTGCTTCTTTACATGCTTCATATAAAATTCTTTCAAATAAATCATTAAAAAATGCCGCTGGCACACTTTTACTTTTACTCGCTCCAGTAACTGCTATACCCATAGTATATATCTAAAGCAAGACCAGCAGTCCCATCTATAAGTCGTTCTTTTGCGTTATTTGGCTTCTCTAACGCATAATAAACACCAGAAGAAATTAGTTGATATACTGAACCAACAATTGGGACGATGCTAACAACTTTTGATACATTTCTCTCGGTCATTTGTGTTGAACTGAGAACCTCTAGTTTAATACTTTTGTATCTTAATTCTAACAATTTGTTTTCTAAACGTTGCAAACTTTGCGCTCTTTTGTTTCTATATATGTAAGCGATAATGTCAACTTCATCTTCATCAGTAAAGGGAAAATCAACCGAAATAATTGGATATTTTCCTAAATCCTCACTAATTGTTTCTAAATTTTTCTCAATCCATTCCGGTTTACTATTAGTTATGATAATAACAATATTTTTTTCTGCCCATTCAAAGATCTCTTTAAACAACTTGAACATTTTTTTATCATCATCGGTAATTTTAACCTTCTTTTGAACGTAAAATATATGATTGAGAGTTACTTTACATTTCGAAAAATAATCTCTTATTTTGTTAACAGCATTCTTATGTGAAACGAGGTGAGATAGTGGTTCACCTAATCCGACTATATCAAATACTTGATATTTTTCCGTACATCTTGTGTGTATATTTAAAGTTTCTCTTCTCGCACCGTCACTAATTGTAAACGCATTATTATTTTGATAAATATCACCTTGAATAAGCATGTTAGCAATAGAGGATTTTCCATATCCGGTACGTCCGAAAAGAAGTATACCTTGTTGTTCAATCATTCTATTAAATTAGAAGAGAAATATAAGACAAGAAACATAAGGATTCGATTTTCAGGTTAGATTTATTTCAATTTAATCGATTCGTGTAACAATTAATTTCTCGTACGTGTGAAAATTTTATTTTATAAATCAATCGATTGTTACGCAACTTACGCAACCTCGATCGTCATTTATTTATTTATTAATTTTATGTAAACAAATAAATTCAATTTTTGTAATATCAATATTCTTATTAAAGAAAATTTACCCCGGTTTTTATTGGTCCTTTTTGACTCGATGTTGTACGACTAATTAATTGGTCACGGCCGGCCGCAGTAATTGATCAAGTATTATTAATAAGAATATTTTCAACAAGATGAACTAATTTTAGTTTATATTGGGAAAATAATAATTATAATATACCCAGAGATCAATATCATCAAGCAGTAAACATTCGCAGATGAATATTGGGAAACTTTAGATATTTAGAAAAGTATTTTATATTTTTTGTTTATCGTGCCGGTTATCGCTTTAATTTTTAGTATCTGCTGGTGTAGAATGATAGTAATATGCCATCATTTCTTTAGTTTTCCTCCAGTCATATTTTTTTTTTTTTTGCGCTGGAACGACCTTGCCTTTTAAAGCACTTGGTCATCTTTAATTGTTTGTACAAGTAAAAACAATCACACATGTATACATGTTTTTCCCGCACATAAGCTCAAATCGTCAAACTGACGGAGCATTTTACGATATGATGCATGGATTTGTTTGGATGAATAACTTGGATCTACTGGCTTTAGTTATAACTTTTTTTTTCAGTCCTTTAATTATAATGGGCATCCTTTTGATGTAAAGTATATGTTTAAAATTTGGTTAGGCGAAAGTAAATATCGGTAAAATTATAATAATACAATACACTGCGCATAGTTTTTTCTTGTATATGTTGTTTATTAAAAACTATATTTCAAATATTTTAAATATAATAAATTATTTATTTATTTATTTTTAAGTAAAAAAAAGTAGTTATTAATTACACGTGATCATGATACGATGCGATTTGATTGGACAGTGACTGAAGTTTTTCAAAATCCAAATATATATCGGGAAAAAAATTAGATTATAGACCATTATTCTAAACATAAATTTTTCGACATAATTAGTGATGAGAAAAAAATTATAATATTCAAAAAAATTTATCATTTGAGCCGTAAATGCATAATTAATAATTTTTAAAATCCAAACATATTCATTTAAGAATAAGATCTGAAACGTATTTTAACGATAAAAAAATGTGTTAAAAATAATATTTGACTTATTAATATAACTACATGAGACGACTTTAAATAAATTTTTTTTAAAAAAAAATTTCCGCAGTAGATCGACAGTATCGATTATGGATTAAATTTGGATTAGAATAGTTTCCGAAAAAAACCAAGTTTCGTATTATAAAATTTTAAATGAATAAATTTTGGACTCTTTTCTAGTTACGGCCATACACAGTGAAAAGCACCGGAACCCGTCCGATCTCCGAAGTTAAGCCACTGATGGCCCAGTCAGTACTACGGTTGGGGACAACGTGGGAATACTGGGTGCTGTAACTCTTTTTTTCTTTACGAAACACCGAAAAATTTTTAGACTTTAGGAAGAATCTAAGTTGAAAGTAACAAATTGATTTATAAACCACGAATTAAGACGTTCGGATGGGCAATATCAGAAAAATTTTTTCGATATAGAAAATTTTTTATCTACTTTATATCTATTTAATGATAATTTATCAAACTGTAACGCAATCACAAATAATTGTGACAAAGTATACGACTTTTATTTAATAATAAATTCGTCAAAAAAAAAAAAAAATTATGAAAGTATTTCCGTAAAGTAGTTTTTAATATACAGACAGTATTTTTTTCTTCACTAGTTTCATTGAATTACAGTTACCTGGTTGCATAATTTTTAAAAGCAATTCTTAAAATTACATCGATTATTAAAATTTATAAAATTTATAAAAATTTTGAAACTTCAATAATATGGACGCGCTAAAGTGTGATCTAAAATAATAAAAGAAAATTTAATTTCAAAATATTAACGTCACTTCGCTACAAAAAAGTCTCTGAAACCTTAAATGTTAATTTAAAAATAAGAAACACCCTTTTACTTCCCAACCCGCTAATAATATATAACGTGGGCGTCGCCTAGAAGTAGTGCAATACTAGGGACACCCATGGGAAGAGTATTGGCAAGCCAAGGGACTCTTCCCCAAATGCAAAAATTCGTTAATATCGAAGTTACACAGTGTGCAACGTTTCAGATATTAGACTGAAAAGAACAGATACTACACTTGATCTTAGCCAATAGGCAAGAGAGGATAAGGACCAAAATCTTGGCGCGTTACGATGTCATTTTATATAGAAATTCGAAAAAACGAGAATTATGGGATATCAATGATTTGTGCAACATAACCGACAAAAATTTTCATTCACGTGATCTTATAAAAATATTTGTCCCATATACACCGTATTACGCCCACTTATTTAAAATTACAAAATTCAATTTGTCACCATTAGCCGTAACTCCGCCAAAAGTCACGTGCTATTACGTAATAACGAATTAAATCTTTTTCCGCAGCAGGCGCAGCAAATTTAACATGTAGCTAGCGTTAGCCACATTTTTTTTTAAAGAAGCAAATATGACTAAGGATTAATAATCAACTTAATTTTATCGAATAAATCATCGAATTATTATAATAAATAGTTAGTCAACATAGGCGCAGCAATGTCGAATTAGTAAGCGGCTAAGCGCTGCGGTTAGGTTCTGCGGCAAATGACAAAAATTATGAACGTACAATTTTTACAATCATTTGAAATCCCATAATTCTCACTTTTTTGAATTTTAATATAAAAAGGCATCGTAATGCCCCAAGCTTTTGGTCCTTATCCTCTCTTGCCTATTGGCTAAGATCAAGTGTAGTATCTGTTCTTTTCAGTCTAATATCTGAAACGTTGCACACTGTGTAACTTCGATATTAACGAATTTTTGCACTTGGGAAAGAGTCCCTTGGCTTGCCAATACTCTTTCCATGAGTGTCCCTAGTATTGCACTACTTCTAGGCGACGCTCACATTTTAAAATTACTAGCGGGTTGGGAAGTGTTGAGTGATTTTTTATTTCTCAAAGAAAATATATTTTTTGAAATTACTGGTGATCGCCAATAACGTGATTTAAATTTCTGATCAAAAGCTCGTAATTGTATTACGCCCACTTATTTGAAATTGCAAAATTTAATTTGTCACCATTAGCCGTAATGCCTGTTACTTCGCGTAATAATGTACAGTACGGTTCGCGAAAAAAATAATCGGAATTTAAACAGAATTACAAAAGTGTAAGAATAAAAAACTAGTGATTAGAATTTCTTCAAATTTTGTGAATTTGTTGTCAAATATATAAACCTTATGTATATTAATTTCAGCCTTCTATCTTGCTTGGTTATCTCTCAATCGATTTTTTTAATTTGATAAAGTCAAAATTTAAACTGTAAAAAATATATAAATTTCATAAAGCATTCAAAATTGCAGTTTATTAAAACTTAAATAATTGTGATTTGAGTTTATGCCATGTTAATTTTATTAAAAAAATTTGACTTTATTATTCATTAGTTATTGAGAAAATTGATTCATCATGATGATCGCAATCTGACCTTTACCCTTAATTTTCATTAAAAGAACTAAAATTCAAGAACATAAAATAAAATAAATATAAAGTTATTATAAATATTTAATGTTTAGATGTTTAGATTAATAATTTTCAAAATATACAAATAAAAATTGTTTTAATTAAAAATCATTATAAAAAAACGTTTTTAATCCAAATATTTGAATGTGGTTAAATTTATCTAAGTTTTAATGATTTTCGAGGATTTTTGAGTCAATTTTAACACAGTTACAATTTGTATAGCTCGATCGGATCATATCACAATTCAAGATTGGATCGAAAAAAAAGTAACCAATCAGATCAAAGTTGCAATTGAGTACAATTTTTCCCATAATTTTATTATATAAGCATTTTTTCCCGTTATACCTTTTTTTTTTTGAATTATTTTTTATTTAATTTTTTTTGTTATCACACTTTTTTTTTGCTTTTTTTTGCTTTTTTGACTTTTTTTGATTATAACGGTTTTTTTGATAACCGTTATTATTTTTTTAAAAAAAATAGATGAGAAAGTACGCCAAATTATTAAATTTGCGGATGAATCAATTTTAAAGATATGATTTTCACAAATTATATTCTGTGCTAACCATGTTTAAATATGTTGTGTACGGACACAAAAAAAAAACGTGATCAAAACTTTCTAAGTTACATTTAATCACGTGATTATTAATAATATGGACTAATTAAAACTTGTACTACGTCACTCAACAGAAATCCTATATAAACAACTCTTAAAATTATAAAGATTTAAAAAAAAGTTTTATAGATTTATTTGTGTTAATTACCTGTCACGAAATATATAACTCAATGGATCCTTACCGCCCAGGACATTATGGTAGAGTTCCCGTTCTGATTTCTTCATTTATATTTACATTTAAATATTTTACTTACTGTTATTTCATAGCTCAATATCGAGCTCCTTACGAACGACCACCTTTTACTCCACCAGGCGGTCCTCCTACCTATGGACAAACCTCGCGGGGTGGCTATACTTCTGGTACTCCCACACAACGTACAGCTTATATGGCTCCTAGACCAGGTTATGGTATACCTTTGGGTGGTATATCACCAATGGCAGCCCCAGGTTCAGAAGTAGAAAAATTGACAACTCTTTTCATTGGAGGGATATCACCGGGAGTAACTGATGATTGGATGGAAAAAATTCTTAAGGTAGTGATCAATTATTTAATTTTTTTGGTGGGCAAATGAATGCTATATATCGATACTTGTCAACAAGTTGACGATGATTTTCCAATCGAAGGGATGGAGATTTTAATGAACACTATATTATCAAATTGGATTCTTATGAACCTTGGAGCTTTAAAAGAAGGCGTAAATATTTGGAGGTGCGATTAAGAAAAAACTTTTGTATAATTTTCTTACGACCTAAAACGTATATTATTTTGGATGCTAAAAATTTTTTTTCCCAGATAGCTTTCGAATTTATCTTAGTCTTGAAAGCTTTAATGCGCTTATTGGGCGCATGAACATCTTCAGGTGTGATTTTATCAAATACTTTAGCTGACAATTTATTTTTGGTTTTTTTTTTTGATTTGCTTATCTGGCGATTGCAAAGACTTGTGGTACATTAAAATCTTGGAAGCGAGTTAAAGACCAATCCGGAAATCCAAAGGGTTTTGGATTTGCGGAATATGCTGATGCTGATAGTGTACTGCGTGCTTTGCGTGTACTTGGTGGTGAAGGTTCGGGTGATGATAAAAAAGACAAGGGAGTTGTTCTTCCTGCTTTGGAGGAAGGTGCTAATGGCAAAAAATTAATAGTAAGCAATCATTTCTTGATAAATTGCTTTTTAATCCTAATTCCTCATCTAAATAACATTTTATCCACATATATTATAGGTTAAAGCCGATGAGAATACAAGAAAATATCTTGATCAATATGAGGCTTCAAGGCCAAGAACGGTGGTCTGTATTAAACTATAGAAATAATTTTTCTTTTTTTTTTTAGCTATCATAATTGATGTCAATAATTATCTTTCAGCATGATACAGAGTTAGATAAAAATGCCTTGTTATCAGTTATAATCGTTGTTGAAGACATGACTAAGCCACAGGATAGAAGAGATCTGTCACCTTCAATAAATTCTCATCATGAAAATAAACTAGCTCTTCGAACATCACCAGCTACAGAAATAAAAACAGAACATGGAGAAAAGGATGATGACACAGATTTACCGGCTGATCTTCCTCCAGATCAAAAGGATCTTATTTACCGAGAAATAGCATTCTTTCGAGAACGTGCTGCAGCAAGAGAGCGAGAGCGCCAGAGAGAAGAAGAAGAACGAGCAAATCGTAGAGCTAAAGCTGAAAAAGAAAGAGAGCGTTCACATGGAAGGGAAAATAGAGAGAGAGAACGTGAGAGAGAAAGAGAGCGGGATCGTGATAGAGATCGAGATCGGCAATATGGACATTATCATCAACCAGTAAATTTTGTTCCTGCAAGAGAATCAAGACGTGAATCTTATATTTTAGACGATGAAGAAGAGGAACAACGTAGACAAGCTAAAAGAAAAACCGAAATGGAAATGGCTTTTAAAGAGGTATATTAAATTATTTAAAATTTTGTTTTTGGATTATATATACTGATTTTAATAATAATTATCTTATATTAGAGGGAAAGACGATGGCAACATAGAGAAGAAACAATGGCAACAAATCGTGAACGTGAAGCAGAACGAGATTTAGATATTAGAGAAAAACAAATTCGAGATCGGGAAATAATGGCGAGGAAGTTAGCGGAATGGGACGATGACATTGAAGCTGATAGAGGTCAAGAAGAATATTACAAAGACAGGTATATATCACATTCATCTTGTAATCAATTTAACGGAGAAATTATAACTTTTTTATAATTTATGTAGATCTCGTTGGTGGTTCCATCGACAACAGTTCAGAGCACGTGAATTGGCTATGGATGAGGCAGATAGGTTGCGAGAACAGCAGGAAATTGAGCTTGAGCAACATCGATTACAGACGCTTGAGGAAGAAAGAAAACAGCGTGAAGAAGCTATGGAAGCTGAATTAAATAATGAAAAAGAAATTTTGACGCTTGCCACAAATGGTACTTCACAAAATAATAGCGTTAAACCAAAGCTAACTCTTAATCTTGCATCAAAACGTCGCGCGGCATTAATGGCCCCAGCTGAAGATGAGGAATTTGACGATGAAGAAGGTATTGAATCAAAACGTAAACGTCGAATTTTAGTTCCTTTGGAATATAGTGATAATGAGGACGATGAAAACAAAACCGAAGAAAGGAAAAAGAAAATTAAAGAATTAGTGGCAACTATACCAACGGATAAAGAAGGACTTTGGAATTGGAATGTTAAATGGGAGGAATTAGATGAGGTAAATTTCATATGTGGTTCATAGTTTTCTTCCTTTTTTTAAAAAAATTTTTGTTTTTATTAACATAAATAATAATTATTTCACAACAGAATATTCTTAGCAAAAAGTTACAGCCATTTGTAAGTAAAAAAATTGTTGAATATCTCGGCGTACAAGAAGATGAATTAGTCTCTTTTGTTATTGATCATTTACGTAATAAAAAGCCAGCTGAAGACTTAACCAAAGAAATGATGATGGTATGTTGCATTAAATATCAAAGAGTAATTAACAAGCTAAATCATTGACTTTTTATATCCTTTGATTTATATACAGACTTTAGATGAGGAATCCGAGCTATTTGTAAAGAAGTTATGGCGTATGTTAATTTTTGAAACGGAAAGTAAGACAAGAAAAATATAAAATGAAGATACAGCTTTTGAAAGGTTTCTAGAATGGGCTAGATAATTCGGAGTAATTCGAGGCAGTGGCATAC